GACGGGGTGGTCCGGGCTCTGCTGCAGAAGCCCAATGCCAGAGTGGTCGTGCTCTTCACCCGAAGTGAAGACGCCCGGGAGCTGCTGGCGGCTGCCCAGAGAGCCAATGTGTCCTTCATGTGGGTGGCCAGCGATGGGTGGGGAGCCCTGGAGAGCGTGGTGGCCGGGAGCGAAGCGGTGGCAGAGGGAGCCATCACCATCGAGTTGGCAGCCTACCCCATTAAGGAGTTTGCTACCTATTTTCTTAACCTGCACCCCTACAACAACAGCCGAAATCCCTGGTTTCTGGAGTTTTGGGAACAGAGGTTTAAATGCAGCTTCCACACGCCAGACTGTAGCCGGTATTCCCTCAAGACAGGCAAGTTTGAGCCAGAGTCCAAGATCACGTTTGTGGTCAATGCAGTCTATGCCATGGCTCACTCACTCCACAACATGCACCGGGCACTGTGCCCCAATGACACCAAACTCTGTGATGCCATGAAGCCCGTCAATGGCAAGAGGTTCTACAAGGACTTTATTCTCAATGTTAATTTTGATGGTGAGTCCAAGGTGGAGATGGGGTTTGCCTGCCAAACTGGAAAGGGATGGCTGGTGGGACGGGAAAGATGGAGACCCAAATTTGACCCAAGACCCTCCAATTCCTCCAGCCTGCCTGCATGCAGGGACCTGTGCGCCATGAGTTGTGGTTGTCCCAGGGTGCCAACAGCCCACCATCATCTTTGGGGCTTGTGACCCTAGTGGAGACATATGTGGTGAGCAATTCCATCCTGCTACAGCTGGATGGGACCCGCTCCACAAAGAGCCCTTTCTTGGTTCATTTGCTTGCAAGTGTTGTGATTTATTCACATTTCAGGGATTAAACTGAAGGGATACCCTTGATCAGGGACTCACATATTTTGGGGTGGATTAGAAACATGTCCTCCATGGCTTGGGCTGAGCTTGGCTATTCAGGTGTCACTGAGCACCTTGCAGGGTGCACAATTCCCCTCCTTGCCCCTGCAGAGCTGGCTGGGGCTGACAGGCTCTCAGGCAGGTGGGGAGGTAGTTCTCCACCTTTGCTTTCCTGCTCCTAATGTGGGCACAGGCAGCAAGGATGGGAGTGAAGGCAAGAAACAGATTGGACGTTGAGCTGTGGCTATGGTGGGCTGTGACTCTTGAAGGAGTCCTGCCTCCAGGCTGGGAGCAAGTGCTCTCCTGCTCCATGGCAGTGACAGTCTCCCCTTGTCCTCCCTCCAGCTCCGTTCAGGCCAGCAGACACGGAGAGCGTTGTTCGATTTGACCGCTATGGTGATGGGATCGGCCGCTACAACATCTTCAACTATCACCACGTGGACGGACGGTATCGGTACCAGAAAGTGGGCTACTGGGCAGAGGGGCTCATCCTCGACACCAGCCTCATCCCATGGGCTGAGACCTCCATCCCTGTGTCTCAGTGCAGTGACCCCTGCAAAAAGAATGAGATCAAGAGCATGCAGCCCGGAGACATTTGCTGCTGGATCTGCATCCCCTGCCAGCCCTACGAGTACTTGCTGGATGAGTTCACCTGCATGGACTGTGGTCTTGGCTACTGGCCCAACGAGACCCTGAATGGCTGCTATGAGCTGCCCCAAGAGTACATCCGCTGGAAAGATGCCTGGGCCATTGGTCCCGTCACTATCTCCTGTCTGGGCTTTATCTCCACCCTCTTCGTTATCGGAGTCTTCGTGAAGAATAATGACACACCCATTGTGAAGGCCTCCGGCCGGGAGCTGTGTTACATCCTCCTGACCGGGGTCCTCATGTGCTACAGCATGACCTTCATCTTCATCGCGAAGCCCTCCACCGAGGTGTGCACGCTCCGGCGCCTGGGGCTGGGCACGTCCTTCGCCGTCTGCTACTCGGCGCTCCTGACCAAAACAAACCGCATCGCCAGGATCTTCAGCGGCGTGAAGGAGGGGGTCCAGCGCCCCCGGTTCATAAGCCCCACCTCGCAGGTGGTCATCTGCATGGCCCTCATCTCTTGCCAGCTCATCATTGTCATCATCTGGCTGCTGGTGGAGACCCCCGGCACGGGCAAGGAGACTGAGCCCGACAAGAGGTACATCGTCACCCTCAAGTGCAACAACCGCGACTCCAACATGCTCATTTCGCTCACCTACAATGTCCTCTTGATTGTCCTCTGCACGGTCTACGCCTTCAAGACACGGAAATGCCCTGAAAACTTCAACGAGGCCAAGTTCATTGGGTTCACCATGTACACGACCTGCATCATCTGGCTGGCCTTCCTGCCCATCTTCTATGTGACCTCCAGCGACTACCGTGTAAGAGCCTGTGCTTTGGGGGGGCTCTAATAGGGCTTGATCTAAGTGGTCCTGGAGATTTGGGCCCTATGGGGTTTATGATTTGGAGATTTGTGGGCCTGGGGAAGGGTCTTCATCCGTGCATCTCTGCACTGATGGTCACCTCTGCACTGGGGCATTCAGGACCAGGTGAAAGATCCTGAAAAGCTGTGGCTGAGGGCTCAGTGAGTCCTGGAGAGAGGACCCACTCTCTTCTCCCATGCTAGGGTGAGGATGGGAAATGGCCCTGAGACCCCAAAGAGACCCTCTCAGCCTGATCATGGAGGAGTAATGTGTCATCCTTCAGCCTTGTGACATGAAAGCATGAGTCATTGGCTCATCCAGTTATGCCAACCCCAGGGCCAGCATGGTCCCTGGGGAGCCAGGCAATGCCAGGGACTGGAGAGCATGGGATGCACCATGCAGCACCTCAGGCTCCCTGGCAGGGCAACCAAACATGTTTCTGACAGGCCTTGAGGACTCAGCAGGGGCAGCTACAGTTGTGGGCTTCCAGAAAGGATTTGCATCCTCCAGAGGGAGTGGGCACTGGAGTGGGGGATCCTGGGCTCTGCCCCCAGGCACTGCACCAGAGCAGCACACTGGCAGGGCTGAGATGCCGCTCAGTGTGTACCTGCTTTGCAGGGGTGACATGATCCCATAAGGGCATTCCCCATCTTCTGCCCATGAGTCTGATGGAGGGATGTGGTGTGGCTGTGATGGGATGTCCCTGCAGGGTGGAGTCTGTGCCCAGTGGGGCTGGCCAGTGCCACAGTGAAGGCTTCATCCTGCCCTCCTTGGGGCAGACGGCTGGTGGGTGGAGCACCTGATGCCCCCCCACCCTGTCTCCAGGTCCAGACCACCACCATGTGCATCTCGGTGAGCCTCAGCGGCACCGTGGTCCTCGGCTGCCTCTTCACCCCCAAGCTCCACATCATACTCTTCCAGCCGCAGAAGAACGTGGCCAGTCACCGCGTGGGCACCGCTCGGTTCAGCGTGGCAGCCGCCAGCTCCAGCCAGTCCCAAGGTGAGCAGAGTGGGGCTGGGGAAGGGCTGGGGGGGCAGCATCCCCTTCCTGGTGGGGAGTGTGTGCGGGAGCACCCCAACATGGGCTCCTGAAGTGGGGGTGGGGAAGGGCCTGATGGGAAATGGGGAGGACGGAGGATACTATGTCCCCAGTGGCTCTTCCCTGTCCCAATGCATCATCTCCCAGGACAGCACAACTGCCAGATGGGTATTGCTCCTGGGGGCATTTCATTGCTCTGAGTGAACGTGGCCACCCCCAGCATCCTCCACCCCAGCCCCAGAGGGACATGACCACTCCAGGCAACCTCCACCCCAAGCCAGGGGATTCGGCTGCCCCCAAGTGCCTGTCACCATCCTGGGAACCCTCCGCTCCACCCCCAGGAGCTATGACCACACCTGGGCACCTTTCATCAGCTGGGGGGATGAAATGGTATCCATATCCTGGATATCCATAGCCCACTGCAGTGGGGTGCTGTGAGGTGCTGCTGCCAGACCCCAACCCACCCCTGACTGCTGCCTTCCTGGCCAGGCTCAGCCTCGCAGTACGTGCCCACGGTGTGCAATGGTCGCGAGGTGGTGGACTCCACAACGTCGTCCTTGTGAAGGATGGGGGAGCCAGGCCGTGGTGCTGCCACACGGCACCCCTGCTGCCTCCCCAGGGACAGCAGTGCCCACGGCACAGCCCGACCAGTGCCCAGTGCAGTCGGGAGGCTCAGCCCCTGCCCCAGCACGAGCTACACATCCCACGTGTCGGGTCACGGTACGTGTCACCTTTCCCTTGCACTGAGCCACGTTACATGTCCTCTGTACCCTGCACTGAGCCATGGCAAACATCCCCAACCCCTGCACTGAGCCACGGCGCATGTCCCTCTGCGTCACCTGCACTGAGCCATTGTGCACTGCCACCCCCCTGCCCTGAGCCATGGTGAATGTCCCTCTGTCCCTTGCACTGAGCCGTAGTGCACACTGCACACACCTTGCACCGAGCTGTGCTGTGCGTCCCCATTCCCTGAACTGACTGTGGCACAAATACCCCCTTCTTGTCCATTGCACTGAGCCCTGGTGCACGAGGTGACTCCCCCTCGCAAAGCCACGTTCCAACTCTCGCTTTTCTTGTGCCAAACCATGCCATACCTCGTCTCCCTCCACACTGGCACGCACCGCCCTCGCCCCATCGCCCACCGTGCTTTCCCTGTCACCCTGTGCCAAGCCGTGCTCCACGTCACCCCTTCCCCAGCGCTTTGCAGTTTCACTTTTCCTCCTGGTTTTGGCCCCAGCAGAGCTGCCAAGCGTGGCTGGGCTGGGCCCAAGCCCCCCATCGCTCCCCTCGCTGTGCGTGGCGCTTCTCACCCCTTTGTGGGAGATGGGGCAGGAGCGGGGGCGGGTGAATTCCCACTGGCCCCCAGCCCCTGCAGATCCCAGGGGGGGCCGTTGGAGGCTCAGGGCGAGTAACGGGATCCAGGTATTTGAGCCCAACCACGTTTTTAAGAGTAGATTTTTTCTGTGAGCAAGAGTGTGATTATTTTTTTTTTTTTGTAATTTATGTAAATAAAGTGGTTTTGGTGGTTTTTTTTTTACAAAATGGACTGTTCCAGAGCTCAGGTCCAGCCGAACCTGAGGGACGGGGACAGACCCTCGCAGAGGGCAGAGCCACATCACAACACAGGGGCCAGCAAGGCTGTGTGACAACCCCTACTTCCATCCTGCCAACCCCAAGGGGCTGGCTGCACCAAGGATGCACCAAGGTGCAGCTTCAGGGACAGAATGACCTGCTCCAGCGGCTCTAGGACTGGGGGACTAGGAGCTGCCAGGGGACTCAGGGTCAGAGGTTGTGGCCCTCTGTTTAAGGGGGATGATGCAGATGCTGTTTTTGGCTTCTTTGATTCTCCACCACCGTCCAAGCCTGTGGATGAGAGAGATGAGGGTTACCCTCCAGCAATCACAGGAGGAAAGGGGGCTGCACGCCCAGGCAGTGCCAGGGATGGGGGTCAGTACCGGTGCTCTTGCCCAATGCCAGCCACCAGGAAGTCACCAGATGACGAGAACTTGAGGCTGTTGACAAAACCCACCTGGAGGGGACAGGGCAGGGTGAAGGGACAGGGCAGGTTAAGGGGATCCCACAGCCTCCTCCTGCTGTCTAGGGAGGGGAGACCCTGCAGTGAGACCTTCCAGCCCAGCTCCAGAATTCCCAGCCTGCCCATCCATCCATACCAAGGGGATGTCCCAGAGGTGCTCCAGCTTCCGAAATCCCTCACCACACTTCCAAAGCTTCACGCTGGCGCTGTGGGAGCCTGGGGCAGGGAGAGGAGACTGTCATGCACCCTGACACAGGGACGGGAGCAGGAAACACCTCTCCCACACCCCCAAAGCAGCTGCCACACACCTGTAGCCAGGAGGTCACTGTTGCGCAGGGCGGCCACTGCTGAGATCCAGTAGGGCTGCTCCAGGCCCTGGGCGTCCTGCATGCCGTGTGCCTGCCGAGCCAGCGCCAGCGGCTTCTTCTTCGTCAGCCCCCACAGGGCTAAAGACCTGATGGGGAGGTGAGGGGTGAGGGGGCTGAAGGGGCACCCTGCCCATCCCAGGCAGTGCCCCAGCCCTGTGCTCACCCATCATCAGCACCAGACACCATGTGCTCCTCGTTGATGAGCTGGATACAGTCGATGGAGCCCCTGTGAAGAGAAGGGGCAACTACCAGCAGTTACAAGTGAGGTTTGGGATCCTGTTCAGGAGACACGGGCTCACCAGGGTATCAGCATTCCCAGGGTGCTCCCTGAGTGGCTTGGCAGCCACACACCACTGCCCTAGCTGGGCATGCCTGCCCACGGCCCCCTCTCCCACCCCAGACCTACTGATGCCCAGAAAACACGAGCTGTGTCTCCTCAGGGATCTTCCAGAGCCGCACGGTGCCATCCCGTCCCCCGGCCGTCACACAGCACTCCCGGCTCAGGCTGTCCAGCCCTGTGATGACGTCCTGGTGCCCAAACCTGGAGGAGAAGATGGCAAAGAGATGTGGCAAGCATGGTCCTCTGCCACCTCGCCTTGCGTCTCCCAGGGGTGCTGGCACACCCTTCGCAGGGTCAGTGGGATCCCCTCCAGCCTTACAGGGTCTCCACATAGGCGTTCTCTGCCACATTCCAGACCTTGACGCAGCGGTCGTGGGAAGCGCTGTACAACTGGTGTGTCCCCTTGCGGAAGGACAGGCCCTGCAGACAGATGAACAGACACAGCACAGCAGTGAGGGAGGGGTACCAGGGAGGACAGGGCTGCCCAGCCCCACAGGCACCGCACCCGATGCCCCCGACTCACCGAGACAGCATCACGGTGCCCTGTGAAGATGTGCAGGCGCTTGCAGGTGGCTGTGTCCCAGATCATGATCAGCTTGTTCCTGTCACCCGTGGCCTGGCAGACAGAAGGGGATGCCCAAGACCTGCCTCTCAGGGACCCACAGCCCATCCCACCCTCCACTCCCACGCCAGCCTCCATTCCCACCCCACGTGCTTTCAGGCGGTCCCGGGAACCCATCCTTAAATCTGTAGGGGGTAGGGGCTACCTTAACTGGGCAAGGCACATCTGGGTATGGGACATAACCCCCAGCACCCCTGGGAGGAGACTCAGTCCCCATGGCCACCTCTGTCCCCTGTCCCCGTACCAGGTACTTGCCATCCGATGAGATGGCCATGCAGAGGATGTGGGATGCGTGTCCCATGTGCCGCTCCTCTGTGCCCTTCTTCCCCCCGGGCACCACGCACAGCCTCTTCCCGCTGTCCACCTCCCCTGTGGGAAAGGCATGGCCATCATCACCCTCTGGGAACCTCCCACCACTCCCAAAAGTGCTAACGAGCCTCACACAAAACCCAAAACCACTCCCAAAAGTGCCAACGAGCCTCCCACAGATCCCAAAACAATGCACATTCCCGGAGCGGCCGAGGGTTAAGTCACTGCCACAGGCACCCACAGCCCTGATGCTGCGGGGTCCCCTGGGGAACAGCCAGTTGCAGCCCCAGGTGAACACTTGCATTTGATGAGGGAGCCGTCCTTGGAAGCAGAAAAGATGAATCTGTCATCGGGAGAGATGACCAGGCAGGTGACAGGCAGCTGGTGTCCCCGCAGCACACGGATGCTGGCTGGATCCGGAGGCTGCACCTGCAGGGAGAGTGGGATGTGAGCTGGGCTGCCCCGGCCCCTTCCCCAGGCTTGGGAGTACCCCAGCACGGCACCGTGGGCAGGAGAAGGGCCATGGGGTGCTGGCCATGCCGGAGTGTCGCCCAAAGCTGGCATTTACGGTCCGGCACCGGGCACTTACATCTTTGGCGACCAGGCGCTGCAGCCGGCCCTTCTGCTCGAGCTGGGGGAGAAGCGGGAGGCTCAGCGGAGGCGGCCCCAGCCCCGGTCCCGCGGGATGGGGACAGACACCAGGACCACGGGGCCGCGCCCGCCCCCCCGCTCACCACGTCCTCCTTCAGCCGGTGGCCGATGAGATCCGCCGGCTGGGTTTCCTCCTCCTCCTCCTCCGCCCGCTCCTCCTCTGTGGTGGCACAGTGCGTGAGAGCCGAGCCCAGCGCCCGGGCCGCCCCGCTGGAGCACCGGGGCCGGACGGGACTCACCGAGCTGGCGGAGCTCCTCCAGGTACTGCTTGGCCAGGCGCAGCTTCTTCTCCTGCGGCGTCTCCTCCAGCTCCTCCTCCGCCGCCGCCTCTCGCCGCCGCCGGCCCAGCGACAGGCTGCGGGGACACGTGTGCGTGAGCACCCCCGGCACCGCCACGCTCCCGGTACCGGCACCTCCCTGGCGCAACCCCTACCTCTCCGTCTCGGAGTCGCTGGACACCTCCTCGTCGGCGGGCCGCCCGGCCGCCGCCCGCGGTCTCCCCTGGGCGTTTGGGACCTGCGGGACCGGGCGATCAACGCGGAAACGGGCGCGGCCAAACGCGCGACGGCGGCCACCCCGCCGGGGCAGTCCCTGCTCGCCCTGCTCCCTCCCTCCCTCCCTCCCTCCCCGAGCCATCTCTCACCGCCGGGCGCGGCCGCCGCCGTCCCGCGGCCCCACGCGGGGCCTTGGCCCTCCTGCCGCTCGCAGCCGCCGCCGCCGCCATGCTGCCGGGACACGTGGGGCCGCCCGCCGCCCGCCGGCACCGGGCCCCGCCCCCGGCAGCGCCCATTGGCTGCAGGCTGCCAGGCCTCGCCTCTCATTGGCCCTCCTGCTCCCGGGGCATCGCCTTCCCGCCCCTCTCCCCGCCCCTGTCATTCAGAGTGACGCCCCGCCCCCTCACATTCAGGCCACGCCTCCGCTCTTAGCCCCGCCCACACGGAGGTAAGCCCCGCCCCGGCCGCGGGGACCCGCACTCCGAGCCCGGTTGTCACACCCCGGCCCTCCCCACTCTGTCCCCCATGGCTCTTCGGGCCCTGCCCCGCAGCCCCCCTTGCAGCTGGTGGCCCCCAGACCCAGAGTCATCGTGGCAGTGACAGAGTGTGGCTGCTTCCCGAGTCATCGTCACACCTTCTACCTCCCTGGGACCCTCAGCCAGGGGAGCACGGCCTCTGGTCCCGTCCCATGTTCTTCGGGGGGGGTCTCAGGACCCCATCCTTGGCTGTGCCGGGGTAGTACCTCTCTGTCTAGGACAAGGGATGCTCTTAAGAGCTAAAATCTGCTTTTGGGAAGAAACTTCATTTTGCACAATCAGCTTCTTTTCTTCTTGCCACTACTAGAGGCAGGGAAAGACAGTGGGAATGCTTTGTGCTGGTTTCTGTAAGGCTTAGGGAGGGATCAGCTTTCCAGCTGCTCTCTGGAGGATTCCGGCTGAGGTCTCTTCTCTCAGATTTCGGGAAGAGCAGATACCCCAACCTGCAGAGCATCCTAGGGCTCAGACTGCTGCTTGCTTGTACCCCAGCAGACTCCTCGCTGGAGAAGCTTGCTGAGCAGCAGAGATGCCACCACCATCAGGGACACAGTGGCAGTGCTCAGGACCTGTCCCAGCCTGTGCAGGTAGATGCACCAGCTGGGGAGTGATGCTGCTCCCAAGCTCAGCATCCCAGGACATACAAGGGAAGCCAATCTCTCTGGCTGGAAGCCTGTCGGGGCAACAAAGTTTTGGCCTTGGTGGCTCCAGGCTGCTGCAGAGCTGTTGCCCAGGCTGAGGCTGCAGGAACCCATACCAGGGGAAGTGTGGAGGAAGATGGGTGGGCAAGGGACCCACCACCCCATCCATCCAGGCAGCAGGAGCAGAAAGGCAGCAGTGGGAAGAGAGGGGGTCTCTGCCTGGCGACTCAGCAAGCTGGACCTCAGGGGGTCACATGCGAAGGGTCCAGTGCCAGCACCGCACTCCCCAAGGGGAATTCGGGAGCGGGATGCGGGGCGGGCGGTGGGTCCTCCGGCCGCCCGGGGGCGCGCGGGGCGGGCCGGGCCGGGCGGGGCGCGGGAAGTGACGGCGGCGGCGGGGCCGGAGAGCGGTACGGGCGGGACCGGGCACGGCGGGGAGGGGGAACGGGACGGGATAGGGTCCCGGGGGCGGGGCAGTGGTGGGTCAGTGTTGGGGTCTATGATGGGACCAGTGACGGGCCAGTGGTGGGGTCAGCAGTGGGATCAGTGATAGGCCAGTGGTGGGACGATGATGGGGTCCGTAGTGTGTCAGTGCTGGGTCAGTGCTGTGGTCAGCGATGGATCAGTGGCGGGTCAGCGACGGTCAGCGGTGGTGGTCAGTGGCGGGGTGGGTACCGTGTGTTCAGGAGGTGCAGCCATGAGGTGGGGGCAGCGATCAGCTGCGTGAAGCCGTTTCTGTTTGTGCACCATGTGTGGGTGCCGAGTGGTTTGGAGCGATGGGGGGGTGCAGGCGGGATGAGTGCCCTGTGTCAGGGTGCAGGGTGGGGAAGTGAGGGTGCCGTGGGGCCCTGGACAGACGTGTCATTCACACCAGGGAAGCAGAACCAGGCTCTGTGGTTGGTCATGAGCCTGAGCTGCTTCCTGCCGTGCTGCTGCGCAGGCACCGAGGGCGCAGGAGCCGGCAGAGCGGGCAGGGTGAGTGTGGGCAGGTTAAGTGTGGACAGAGTGAGTGTGAGCAGCGGGAGCGTGAACAGGCTGAGAGTGAGGAGGGGGAGCAAGAGCAGGGTGGGTGGGAGCAGGGCGAGAGTGAGCAGGGTAAGCACAGGGAAGGTGGGTGCAGGCAGGGTGAGTGGCTGGCAGGTGCTGTTGGGGTCCTGGTGTGTGTTTGCTGGGTGGATAAAAGGAGACCATCACCCACCCACGGTGCTAGTGGGGTCTTGGGGTGCTGTCTGGCCTCTCAAGGGGTCATTGCAGGCTGAGCTGGAAGTCAGAGGTCTCAGAGCTAGGGGAGTGACTGGGGGGCACCCTGAGGGTGTGGGGGGCAAGCCCAAGCTCTCCCCACCCCCCAGAGGGGAAGTGGAGCAGTTTGCTCAACCCCGTTTTATAAACTGGTGTGGCGGTTCCTCCCTGCCTGCGGCTTCTCCTTCGCAATGGGAACAGCCACCAGGCTGGGAGAGGGGTCCCCACCACATGGTGGTTGTGGTAGTGGTTTTCTGACCCCTCAGAGGCTGTCAGGGCCCCCTGGAAGCCCCATGCTGGGGACATGTCATGAGCTGGCTGGTCTGACAAGTGCCCAGGTGGCAGGAGCTAGTGGCAGAGCTGGAGAGGGGGCAAGGCCAGCACTGCGTCTCCTGCCCCTCTGCTGTTTTGGCACTCCAGATTCCTGGAGCTGGCACCACGTGCCGCTTCCCTGCCACAGATCTGTTGTTTTGACCTTGGACCCGCCACTAACCCCCATGAACTGATCTGTCTGCACTGCTGGGGAACTGCACCTGCACTGGGGCCAGTGCTGGGCTGGGGGGACACACACGGTCTTTCCCCTACAGCCTCTAAACTGTGGCCTGCTTGGTTTCCTGTCAGTGAGAAGAATGGGCTCAGTGTCAGAGGAGCTCAGCTTGGTCCCCCTGCACCAGAGGCCGGAGCTGCTGGAAGCCTGTGCCGATCTGCTGGGCGAGGAGTGGGGGAAGAGCCGGGCATCGCGGCTCCACACGCTCCAGCGCTCCTCGGACGCCTTTCCTGTCTGCCTGCTGCTGCTGCGGAGCCGGGGCCCCACCGAGATCCCTGGCCCCCGGGAGGGTCCCTGCCAGCTCGTGGGCCACGTCCGCCTCTCCCGCGTGGTCGGCCGTCCCCGTGACCTCTTCGTGGAGAGCGTGGTGGTGGCCCGGGCGCTGCGGGGCCAGGGCTACGGGCGGCGGCTGATGGAGGCCACTGAGCGGTGGGCTCGGGCCCAGGGGTTTGGCTGCTTGCACCTCACCACCCACGACAAGCAGCATTTCTATGCCCACCTGGGCTACGTCCTGGGTGAGCCGGTGCAGAGTGTGGCCTTCCTCAGCCCCGCCATATCCTCCGAGGTGCTGCGGCTCTTCTCTGCCCCATCTGGTGCTGCCATCACCATCAGGCCAAGGGTACCCTCTGCCCCCCCGCCTCCCCTCCCACCCCTCGCTGTCCCACCACCACCCCCTCCACCGACTGTGATCTGGGCGAGGGGTGTCCTGGCTGAGAACAGCAAGCAGAGCCTTCTGGAAACCCCCCACCGAGATGCCAAAGGGCTCCCCATCTTCTGGATGAAGAAGGACATCTGAGGGGCAGGGGCCCCAAGACGGTGATTAAAAGCAGTGCAGGCAGGAGCTGCCTGCTGTGGCGCTGCCTGACTGCCTGCCATTCTTCAGGGCTGGCACCAGCTCCCCCAGCCTCCCTCGTTCACTCTGGTTCCATTGCTGGGTGGGTCCCCACACCCTTCCCTGCTTGGGTACGCTGACTCCACTCCCACCGGCTCGCCTGGCCATGGCTCTGGGACCACCAGCGTGGTGGGGAGCCAGGCCCAGTCTAGGCTGTGGGGTTGGGACTGATCTCAGGAGCACCACCCAGTCCCACCAGTGTCTCCTCCACTCAGGGGGATCACTGAAGGGCAGCTGGGGCTGATGGTGTGTGGTGGTCTCCAGCGGGGCTGCTGCTCTTGCCACTGAGCAGCCCTGGGTAAACCAAGGCATGCTATGGCTGGAGGGGCACCAGGGGAGTAGGGTATGGCAGTGGGGCTGCGGGGTCAGGTCCCTGCACTGCACGGTGAGGGGGGCAGATGGCCAAGCCCCCCTGCCCTGAGGAGCCATCATCAGTGACAGCCATGGAGTGGGAAGGTCAGGGAGAGTGTCCGGCCTCACATGGGGGATTAGCGCTGCCCTTGCTGCATCACGCGGCCCCTGGGCCCGTCCGCTGCCTAATCCCCTTGTCCCGGGCAGCTGGCCAGCACTGGGCAGGGGCACCAACCCCCTCTGGTTCTGCCTGGGCTGTGAGGGACTCAGCTGCACCTTTGGCTCCACCACGCCTCTTGTGGGGCTTGGTCCCTCAGTAGGGCACCCAGCTGGGCAAGGTGCTGTGGTGAAATGGGGAGGAGGGCGTCATGGTGCCCCCGCTACAGGCAGGACTGGGAGCCAGCAGGGAAATGGAGGCACCAGTGTCTGTGGCTTGCAGTGCCACTCCAGAGCTGTGCCATGTCTGTGGCAGGAAGGGGCTCAACAGCAGGGTGCAGCAGGCAGAGGTGCCCACTGCCAGTGCTGAGGCAGGAGGGGTCTGAAACCCACAAGTTTACCAAGTCCTGTGGGGTTTTTGGGTGGGCAGCATGTGCCTGCCGGGCATCTGGCACCTGTAGCTGATTCTAGCCTACCGCATACCAGGGTGGCAGTGCCAGCATGGCTGGGGTGCCTGCTGTGCCCCTTGTGCCCCACAGCCTCACTGCCACTGCTTTTCTTTCCCTGCAGGGTGCTGGCCCCGCAGGCAGACGGTGAAGTGGGATGGTGCTGGTGCTGTGGATGTGCCTGGCACTGGGCATCACCAGCGGGGAGAGCCCAGCACCTGAGCCCCTGTCAGGCGGCCAGCCCTTTGCCGTGGTGTGGAACGTTCCCACTGGGCGCTGCCAGCGCCGCTTCGGCGTGGCGCTGCCTCTCAGTGACTATGGCATCGTGGAGAACCAGGGTGGCCACTTCAGGGGCCAGAACATCACCATCTTCTACAAGAACAAGTTTGGGCTGTACCCCTACCTGTCACAGCAGGGTGTCCCCCGCAATGGGGGCATCCCCCAGTGTGTCCCTCTCAGTGCCCACCTCGCCAGGGTGGCTGAGGACATCCATCTCCTCCTGCGCCCTGCTTTCCATGGCTTGGCTGTGGTGGACTGGGAGGAGTGGAGGCCCCTCTGGGCCCAAAACTGGGGGACCAAAAAGATGTACCGGGCAGCCTCAGAGCAGTGGGTGCGGGATCGGCATGGCATCCTGCCGGCACGGCGGCGGCTCCGGCTGGCCCGGCGGGAGTTTGAGCAGGCGGCGCAGGCTCTGATGGAAGAGACACTTCTGCTGGGCCAGACCCTGCGCCCGGGGGGGCTTTGGGGTTTCTACCGCTTCCCTGACTGCCTCAATGGAAACTGGGCCAAGGAGGCCAACTACACTGGGCAGTGTCAGCCGGCAGAGGTGCAGCGCAACAACCGGCTGGGCTGGCTCTGGGCTGCCTCTACGGCCCTCTACCCCAGCATCTACCTGCCACCAGCACTGCCGCCTGCCCTGCGCCACCGCTACGTCCACCACCGGCTGCGCGAGGCCCTGCGTGTGGCCGCCTTCGGGGCCCGTGGCCTCCTGCCCGTGATCGCCTACTCTCGCCTCTCCTTCCGCCGCTCGCCCCAGTTCCTGGAGCTGGTAAGCACTGTAGGGCCAGAGTTGGTAATGTGTGTGCCAAGGGGTTTCTGTGTGGCACAGGGACGCAGCCTGTGCCTCCCCAGCCTGGTCATATCTCTGTTCCTGGCAGGCTGACCTGGTGCACACCATCGGGGAGAGCGCAGCGCTGGGAGCAGCTGGACTCGTGCTCTGGGGAGACATGTCCTATTCCCACTCAGCTGTGAGTACAGCCCTGCGCTGCACTGGAGCAGTGGTGGGCAGCAGGAGGTGGCATGGGACATACGGGGTGGTCACATCCTTGATGTCTGCAGCGGAGGGGTGGCCAGAGGGTCTCCAGTGCTGGGGCGAGTTCTCACTGGTGCTTCCTCCCCAGGAGAGCTGTGCCAACCTGCGCCACTACCTCGTTTCCACCCTGGGCCCCTATGTGGCCAACGTGATGGCGGCGGCCCGAGAGTGCAGCTACAGGCAGTGCCACGGACACGGGCGCTGCGTGCGCCGGCAGCCCCATGACCTGGGCAGCCTCCTGCACCTCGGCCCCGGTGCTGGCCCACCGGCTGCTTTCCGCTGCCACTGCTACCGCGGCTGGGTGGGCGAGGGCTGTGCCCAGCGGGTCCGGCCTGGCCCTGCTGCCTCCTGCCTGGTGCCCACCCACACTCACAGCCTTTATGGGCGTAAGGACCTCCCGCCCTCCGACACCTGCCCGCCACAGGGCACGTGGGGCTGGTGACCCGGGCTGGGGACCACCATGGTCCCCTGCCCTGGCAGCACTGCTGCTGGCACTTCTTAACGGTCTCATTAACTTAAATAAATCTGCCTGGCAGAGTTTGCATGGTCCTTGTGGGCAAAGCTGGGGCAGGGGGGTGTCTGTGATGCACCCAGGCTGGGTACAGTTGCCATTGCTACTGAGAGATGGCACAGACCCCAGTTTGGTTCTGGATGTGTCCAAGGGGGCCTCAGTTTCCCTGCATGGACTCTGCCCTGATCCTGTGGTCAGCTGGCAGACCCTTTACTCTGGGAAAGGGGGCACGGGGCACTGCCACAACCTGCTTTCCCTTTGCCACACTGGCGCTGTGCTGCTGGCAGCCCTGTCCACGCCACCAGGCCCCCCTCCTCACAGCTATTTTTATCCCCCCCCAACCGTGTTTCTCACTGTCCTATTTTAAGCGGCGCAGTTGGCGCACTGGCAACCCAGTGCCCAGCTCCCAGGGGCCCCGCACCACTTCACTGCCCACTCACGCTGCCCGGGCGCAGGGCACGGGGAGCAATGCCCAGGGAGGCTGCAGAAGGTACACTGGGAGCGGGCTGGGGGCTGGTGGGGGCCCTGGCACCCCAGGGGGGACTGGGTGGCACGGGACTGTGAGGTTGGGATGGAAACAGTGGTCAGATGGTGCCCTCTGCCACAGGGACTGTGGGCAGAGATGCCTGCCCTGGAAAGAAGGGGGTCCTGGAGGGCTGCAGGTGCAGGGCAGCAGGGTTTGGGGAGGGGGCAGGCAGCTGGCCTGGCACAGTCCCCTGCACCAAACCTGTGCAACCAGCTCTGTCCCCCAGCTGATAGGAAGCAGATGCAGGAGTGATGGGGGTACCCACAGGGTAGCCCCCAGCCAAAGGCAGTGCCCTGTGGAGGGTCTGAGGGGACCCTGGGTACCAGCTGAGGCTCCCCAGCCCTGATGCCCGCTAAACCTGCAGGGTGACACACAGTCTGGACAGCAGCAGCATGGCGCCACACTGCCCTGCGACACGCCACTGACCCCGGGAGGGATTGGGAATGGGCACAGTGCCAGCCTGCCCTGCTCTGCCACGGGCACAGCGCGTGGGCCCTCCCTGCTGCCCAAAAATGCACAAACACCTAGAAAAGGACCCTTTCTCTCTACCCCATGCTTGCTTCCCAAAATGGTGCTGGAGCCATGCCTACTTCCAAAAAGCCCCCTCGCTCCCATGAGGGATTTGCCCACTTGGGCAGTGGGCACCAGGTCCCCCTGGCACAGCACACATCCCACATCTCCATCTCTGCACCCCCAAGCAACACCTGAGCACGGTGCCTGCAGGGCAAGCTGAGCCACACCGCTGGCTGGCACTGCCCTGGCCCTGCCCTCCACCTCCCAGCTGGCCCTGGGAGCCCCAGCCAGCCCCACAGTGCCTGGGCTATCGGGGCCAGGGGTTGGCACATTCCTGCCCCCAAGCCAGGGCCAGATTCCAGTCCCACTAACGAGGCTCCGGAATCGTGGCCACCAGGTGCCTGCCTGCTAAGTGCTCCGATGACAGCGTCAGGGCCAGGGGGGCACAGCCAGGGCTTGCCTGCCCACGCCTGCAGGGCTGTGCCAAGGGAACACCGGCCTTGGCTGCCTGCCCCAGCACAGCACTGGGCTGCCAAGGTTGGGATCCCCCCACCCCGGGAGGGGTCTGTCCCACAGGGGTGCCCGGGGCAGGCAGGGGTTGTGGGCAGGGCACACGCTGACCCTTTACCTCTGCTCCAGCAGACAGCATGGGAAGGGCTGAGGGTGCCGCACCGGCAGAGCCCGCGGACCCTGACAGCAGTGATCCTGGAGCCATCAGCCTGTGCCCCGTGGAGTCCATCAGCGACCTGCACTTGGCCTCAGGCGGGCAGAAGGGCACAGAGGGTGAGAACGCTGGGGAGGTGGTCGTGCCAGCCCTGGCTGTGCTTGTGGCTGGGTTCTGACCTCTTGTCTCCCCTGCCCGCAGGCAATGGCCCGGCTCCCTCCAGCAGCCTGCGCCGGCCTCCCCCTCAGACCATGTCCCCCGTGCCCCCGGTGCTCCTGCCCACTCTGCGCCCCGTGCCCCCCGCCAGCCCCTGCCCCTGCCTCGGCCCTGGCCACCCCCTGCTGCTGACCCTGCTGGTGCTGCTGACACTGGCGAGCCTGGTCCTGGCCACGCTGGCCATCTACCTGAGTGGTATGTGACACTGGGCAGGGTGAGGGGCTGGGGTGTTGCAGGGGATCGTGCCCACAACATGTCCCCATCCTCTCGCCGCAGTCCTGCAGAGCCAGTCTGTGCGGGCGCTGGCCCAGTGGCTGGAGAGCCAGGAGGACGCCGTGCACCAGCTGCGGGCAGCCAGCAGGCAGCTCTGGGCTCGCCTCAACGCCAGCACCCAGCCCAGCGGGCACCGCTGAGCTGCTCCCAGCCCCACCATGGGCTCCAGGCCACCGCAGGAAGGGGCAGCGAAGGGCAGGAGGGGGCAGCGGGCAGCCTTACCCACTCAGACCTGGCAGTATCGCCCCATGGGGCATAGGGGCAATCCTGGCCCCTGCCCCAGGCTGTGAGAGAAAGGGACAGGGCTGTAAGGACTGGCACCCACCTCTGTGACAGCCCTTCCTCTTAACAAGGCAGAAGGCACCCTCCAATTAGCCTTTTAATTACCTCTTACAATCAAAGTCTTAGAAAATAACCACGATAGATACATTCCCGGAGTGGCAGGCACTGCCAGCTGGCACAGCCCCATGCCCGCCTGGGCAGTTGCCCCCCCGTAATTAATTTCCCACAAGATTACTATTTCATATAAAGCATTTGGCTGAAAAAAGGGTTGAGAGTGAGCAGCTGGCAGGGCTGGGCAGGGCCTGCCACCCTACACTGCTCTGCCACCACCATTGGTGCCAGACTGGCTGTGGAGGCAGGGGCTGTGCCCAGCATGGCAGGTGAAAGCAAATGCTCCTGCCACAGGCTCAGACACCAGGCCAGCTGCCCCACAGCCCCACACAGCTCTGCCCTCTCAATCACCCCTCCAGGCTGTGCCAGGCCACCCTGGTGTCCCCACAGGACTGGAGATGGGGGGACATGAGCCCTGCCTCTAAAAAGGGCTGCAGGAGCTCTGGTGAAAGCCCTTCCCACTGTGCCACATGGAGTCTCAGCCGCAGAGCAGGCACACAGCAGACATGCCACCACCTCCCCCTGCTCTTCTTTTATCCTTCCTTTCTTTGGTTAAAAAAATAAAAGAGGGGGCAGCCCCCAGTGGGGCAGCTCCAGGCATTAAATACTCTGCTGTACATGAATAAAAGCCCAAGGGCCAGGGGCACCTGCCCCTCACAGTGCTGGGTCTGCAGTCCAGGTGGGCTGGGGGCTCTGCCCCCCTCAGCCCATCACAGCACATCCGCCCGCTTGTCCCGCACACGGCTCCGGGCTTTCGTGCGGGCTTTGAAGGCAGCCAAATTGTAGAGGTGCTGGAAGAGAGGGAAGGAGAAATGGGTTAGGGATGCTCCATCAGCGCCCACCACACTCAATCAGTGGCACAGGAGGGGACCCTGGGCATAAATCTGGGAGGTGGCACCCACCTTCTCAAAGCGGGAGACCTTGCTGGCTTTCAGAGCAGCCGCATCCAGCACCAAGGGGGGCCCAAGGCCAAAGATCTCCCGTAGCAGCTCATTGTTCTGCGGAAGCAGGAGCCTGTCAGCACCCACCCGCACCAGCCGGGCACTCCCTGGTGCGTCTGCCCAGCCCCTACCTGGAGGTGGTGGCGGATGCCAGAGCCCAGCACCTCTTTAAAGGCTTGGTAGGTCCGCTGGCGTGCCCAGCTGTCCAAGTACATGCACTCCAGGCCAAATCGGATGGTCTCCTCCTGGTACTCCCCACTCTGAGCAGAGAGAGGGGCATCAGCAATAACCCAGGCACCAGCCCCTTGTGTCCCCGGCTCTCCATGGAGGGGAATCACCAGGCAGCTGGGCAGCAGCCACACAGTGAGGTGCTCGGCAGGGGAGGGCACCACCAGCCTCCAGCACCTCAATGAAACGCAGGATGTCCCGGAAGATGGATCGCTGCTTCCGTCGGTCCGTCTTGGCTCGGTACTTGTTGCTCTCAGTAGCCAGGACCTTGAGCTGGGCGCACAAGAGCTCTGTATCTTGGTGGCACAAGTCCTCCTGCCAAAAAGCAGGGGATTTGGAGGGATGTGGCTCCAGGCACTGCCACCACAGCCAGGACAGGGCAAGGGGATCACCCAGGCCAGCCCCTCTGCCTGGACACCTGCTGGTGACTCCAGTCAGTGCCAGCTCAGCAGGGTGTTGCTGCCTGCAGCTCCCTCCCTGCCACCCAGCAACTGCCCACCCACTGCAGCAGTTCCTGTGGTACCTCCAAGTCCTGGGCCAGCTCAAACACCAGTGCGATGGTTTCCCCGGCCAGGATGCGCAGGGCAACGCTGCTGCTGGACAGCAGTGGGGGCAGCTGCAGCCAGCGGCTGGGACAGGGAGGTAGGAGGGCAGTCAGGGACTCCCTGCTCCACAGCTGGCTACTCCACACCAGCCTCCAATCTCCCCACACCCCACTCACTTGTCCAAAATGCTCCTGAGGTGGGAGGGGGGGCAGATGGTCAGGAGCAGGGACCATGACTGGAGTGCACTGCAGTGCAGAGGCCCGTGCTGGGCAGGTGCTGAGCCCGCCTCACCTGTGCTGGGGGGGCTGAAGATGCCCTCCAAGCAGAACAGGCATGAAACCAGGTCCTGGAGGGGAGAAACTCATCAGTCAGACCACAGCTGCCATGAAGATGCCATAGTGAGCCGCACACTGGGGACTGAAGGGGACCCACCATGCCCAGAGCCATCAGGAGCTCCCTGAGGAGGGATAGACTCCTCCACGCAGAACACCCCATCTCTGCAAGTCAGGCCTCCCCCCCAGCTCAGCTCCACACTGCCCAGGGAAGGGGCCTGGGCTGTCACTGATGTCCCTGTACCCCTACCCCAGCTCAGCTCCAGGCTGCCCTGGCACCGTGGGCTGAGGGCAGGTGGCTCGGCAGCCCCGGCTGCCCTTCTGCAGGGGTACGGGCGACACCCAGGCGCAGTTACCTCGAGGTCAGCAGCAGCAATGTAGCAGCACATGCCCAGAGCCGTGGCACACTGGCGAGAGGAGTGAGGAAAGGGCAGTCAGAGAAGGCAGTGCTGGGACAGATCCAGCACCCAACCAAAGAGAAGCCAGGCTGGGGTGCCCCTGCTTCACCCCCCTGCTCTGCACAGCACCCAATCCCGTCACCCTCCTGCAACTGCAGGGGCCCCAAAGGCTCTCCCCAGCACCGAGGTGTCCCCAGGAGGAAAGGGGCCGGGCCTTACGCTCTGCCGGGCGCTGGGGCTGGCCGTGCTGTCTGTCAGGATGCTGACGAGCAGGGGCTTCAGGCTGCGGAACACCTCTTCTCCCTCCGGGCCGGAGCCCATCTGGAGGCAGAGGAGGGTGAGGACGGTACCCGCCAGCGCCTGTTCCTCCCCTTTACCTGTGGGCAGCACGAGAGACCTCCCTCAGACCCGGCTCACCGTCCCCGCCGCCCGCAGCCCGCCCGCGCCCTGACCTTTCTTGAGACACTTCTCCAGGGAGTCGGTGAGCGTGAGGCGGCGCTCCAGCAGGAACTCGGACAGGGTTTTGGAGGACAAGGCCAGGCGCAGGCTCTGCAGTGCCGCCTGCCGCGTCTTGGCGCTGCGATAGAGACCGCGGGACGTCACAGCCCGGGCTGTCCCGGGACATGGCACGTCCCTGCCCCCGGCTGCGGCGCTGCCAGGGACGGGCAGCGCGCCAGGAGCGCCCACGCCGGGTGGCAGCCGCTCCTCACCTCTTGTCCAGGAGGCTGTCCATGTGCTCCTTCAGCCGGTCCTCTGCCTCCTCCTCCTGGCCTTGCTCACTCGCCGCCTCGCTCCCTGCCCGGGCGGCACCACGTGAAGGCGGGGAGCCCGCGGGTGGGGGACACCGCCACCCACGTGGGGACACCGGGGGGGCCGCGGGGCTCACCTGGTCCCTCCTCGGCGGGGCTGGCGCCCTCGCTGGCGCTGCTGCAGTGGCTCAGCACCTCGCTGCCGGCCTCCTCCTCGCTGCCGGGCGAGCCCGCCCGGGCGCTGCCGGGGCCGCCTGCGGGGTGCGGGACAGACGCGTGTCAGACCGGCCGTGCCACCCGTGTGACACCTGTCCCCCGTGTCCCCCGTGTCCCCGTGTCCCCCGTGTCCCCGGTCCCCCCACTCACGGCGCGCGGCGCGGCGGGAGCGCGGCATGGCCGGCGCGCGCGGACCCCACGCCCCGCCCCCGGCGAGAAGCCCCACCCCTGACCCCGCCCCCTCGTCCGCGCGCGGCCCCCTGGGAGCGCCCGCTGTCGTTTGCGCATGCGCCGTGGGGCCCGTCCGTATCCCTGCCTTGTATCCCTGGCCTGTGTCTCTTCTCCTGCCCGTATCCATTCCCTTCTCGCCCTGCTCGAATCCATGGCCCTGCCCGTATCCCTGTCCCTGTCTCTGCTTTTCTCCCTGCCCGTGCCCCTGCCCCTCTCTCTGTCCTGACACTGTCTTCATCCCTGGCTCCTCACTATCCCTGCCTGTATCCCTGCCCTGGCATTGTCTCCACTCCTGGCTCCTCATTATCCCTGCCTGTATCCCTTGGGCTGGGTGTGAAATGCTCCTGACACCTGTCCCTGCCCACAGCCCTGGCCCTACTTGTACCCCTGTCCCCACTGCTGGTCCTCTCCCTGCCTGCATCCCTCCTGATATCCCTTTCCCTGCCTGTATTCCTGCCCCATTGTCACCCACAACTAAGGGGACACCTGTCGCTGCTCCTGCCCATATCCCTGCCCTGCCACTTAGTCTTTCTTTATGAGATGTTGTGACCTTTATTAAGATCTGTACACCGACAGTTCCCTTGTTCACTGCATAGCTATGGTTGAGTAGGCATGACAGCAGGGCCCCAGCTCTGGAGGAGGAGGACAGCCCCACCACAAGGGATGAAGGCTTCTCCTGGACTCCTCAGATAAGACCAGCACCCTGGTCCCTCCCATTGTCTGGCCTCACCCCTTAAGACAGTGAGACTGACTCCAGACCAAGGAAGAAAAGATGCCAAAATCATGGTATTGCACTGGCTTTGCAAAGCCATGGGGACAGTAGGGACTGGTGGAGCCCTGCTGTGCCCCAGCACTCAAAGGGTGTGAGAGCCACATACGAAACACATTTGGAGTGCCCCGATTTGGCTGGGACACCCTCTGGGTATGAATAAAGAATGTCTCTTATCATGCTGACCTTGGTGTTCTGGTCCTGGTGCTTGGGCCTCATGGGCCAGGTGTGAAATGCTCCTGACACCTGTCCCTGCCCACAGCCCTGTCCCTGCCTGTACCCCTGTCCCCACTGCTGGTCCTTTCCCTGCCTACATCTCTCCTGACATCCCTTTCCCTGCCTGTATTCCTGCCCCATTGTCACCCATCACTAAGGGGACACCTGTCCCTCCTCCCACTTATATCCCTGCCCTGGCCATGTTGCTTGCTTCTGTCCTTGTCCTTGCCCCTGTCTGTATTCCTGTCCCTGCCTATCTCTGCTTGGCCCTGTCCATACCCCTGTGCCATCCCTGACCCTGACAGGACCCCATCTCCATCTTATATATATCCCTGCCCCTGCTGCTGATGCTTCCCTGCCCCATCCTTGTCCCTATCCCTGTCCCTTACAGCCTCCTCTCCGTAGCCCCTGCTTGTTTTCTGCCCACGTCCTGACCCCTTGTCCTTTCGTGCTCCTGCCACTATTCCCTATCCCCTTTTCCCCGCTTTTTGCATCTTTCTGACAGTCCCAGCTCCCGGGAGCCCACTGTCCCCCTGCCTGTAGCCCCCTCCCATCCTCCTGGCCCCGCCTGACCCGAGTTTCCAGGCGTCACATAAACTATTCCTAGTTTATTTGGGCCGGGAGGGCACTCACGGAGCCCTTTGCACTTTCGTTTCTAGTTTGGCGGAGTCAGAAACCGAAACGGCAGTCGAAGCAGAAACAGAAACCGAAACTCCGGTTTCCCGGCTCCGGCGCTTAAGGCAGCACGGGCAGCAACATCCAGCCTGCGCCTCCCGCTGCCGGGCTCCAGCGGCACTGGGAGCTCCGGTGATGCTGGCACCGGCTGCATCCCACTGCAAGGGAGGGCACCAGAGCCCCTGGTGGTGCTGGCACCGGCCATGCCCCACTGTCGGCGTTGACACCAGGTTCCTCAGTGGCACTGTCACTGGCCATGTCCCGTTGTCTGAAGTGACACCAGGGCCCCTGGTGGCACTGGCCAAGTCCCATTATCCCGGGTGACACTGTGCTGCCAGCACGAGCCCTGTCCCAGCACTGGCTGTGCCCCAGCCCAGGCACCTGAGCCCCTGGCATGGGCACAGGCAGGCAGGGGCTGGCACCGGGTCCCGATGAGGGGACCTCTGTCCAACTGGGCACCCAGTGGAGACCCTGTGCCACCGCAGGCACCTGGGCTGTGAGATCCCATAGGGCTCCCGAGCCGGCCTCTAGAGGCACCTGCTCTGCCGCCACCACGTCAGGAGGATGTCAGAGTGATGTGCAGTCCTTCCTGTCCCCTCTGAACCCCCGCAGTGGTGGCAACTCGGACACCCAGGGGACCCCATGGGCAGGACTTGGGACTACCTTAAGTTCCCAGTGGTGATGGCATAGGGGCGGTGACTTGGGGAGCTTTAAAAGCTGCTGCAGAGATGAGCAGGCTGTGGGAGGTGGGCAGGAGTGGACATAGAAGGTGGAAAGTCAGTTGAGAGCAACAGGAGTGAGCACACCTGGCAACATGAATGTGGGCCAGGTGTCATTCATGGGTGGACTGGGAACGGTGTCTGCCAGAAACCTGGATGGCTGGATCGCGCAGAACCTGGAGCCCAGCACAGCTTTCTCCATGCGGGTGAAGCAGACGGTGAGGCAGATCTGTGACTTCCTGAAGGAGGACTGCTTTGGGACCGAAATCCATGTCAACAAGATAGTCAAGGTGAGTGCTGCTTGGCTCAGGGGCTAGCCAGCACCCCTGCTATTGCCCTTCCATCTGTCTTACTGCTCCAGATCCTGCCCTGCCTCAGTTTCCCTTGGCAGCTCCAGGAACGGTGGCAGGCGATCCCAGTGCCGAGGGGCAGCGGTGCTGAGCAGTCAGGGTATCTCTCTGCAGGGTGGCTCAGCAGGCAAGGGCACAGCCCTGAAGAACAACTCTGATGCCGATGTGGTGCTCTTCCTCAGCTGCTTATCCAGCTACCAGAAGCAGAAGGAGAAGAGAAAGGATATGCTGGATTTGATCATAATAAGGCTGAAAGCCTGCAGGGAGAACTCGCAATTCAATGTGTACATCAGTCCACCCCGGTCCAAGGGTCCTGGCAATACACCACGCTCCCTCAGCCTCACTCTTTCCTCCAGGGAGACCGGGGAGTCCATTGATGTGGACATCCTGCCCGCCTATGACGCCTTGGGTAAGTGCTGCAGGCTGGCATGGGGCCAGGCAGTGGTGTCAGTGCTGGGATGGCCCTCACCCTTCTTCTCACCCCACAGGGCAGGTAAGAGAGGATGCCCCGCCAAGGGCAGAAGTGTACGTGGAGCTCCTGAATGCCTGCAGCCGCCCTGGGGAGTTTTCCACCTGCTTCACTGAGCTGCAGAAGAAGTTTGTGAAGCGTCGCCCTGCCAAGCTGAAGAACCTCCTGCGACTGGTCAAGTACTGGTACAAGGAGGTGAGGGGCTGCCCAGCTTTCCCAGCTCCCACTAGGCACCCACCCCAGCCAGCTCTCACCCCTATCCCTGTCTTCTCCCCAGCTGAAGCTAAAGAACCCCAGAGCGGACCTGCCCCCAAAGTATGCCCTGGAGCTGCTGACCATCTATGCCTGGGAGGAGGGCACAGGCTCCTGCGACTCCTTTGTTATGGCTCAGGGCTTCCTTACAGTGCTGAAGCTGCTGTGCCGGTACCAGGACATCTGCATCTACTGGGAGAAGTACTACTCGCTCCAGCACGGTGAGATCGGTGCCTATGTCAAGGGGCTGCTGCGCCGTGACCGGTGAGGACTCTGTCTTGTGGGACCTGTGCCACTGGCCCCATGGCACTGCCCAGGGCTGACAGCAGCGCCCACTCTTTGTGTTTGCAGCCCTGTCATTCTGGACCCTGCTGACCCCACAGGGATCCTGGGCCAAGGCAAGAACTGGGGCCTGCTGGCGCAGGCAGCTGCCAGCAGCTGCAGCTCACTGCTCTGCCTGGCAGAGGTCCAGCCCTGGGAGGTGCAGGTAAGGCTGCCTGAGCCTGTGGGCATCATGGCCCCCCACCCCTGGCCCTACTGGCTTTACCAACCCACTCTCCTGTCTCTGCAGCCGGCCCGACGTGTGAACATTGAGGTGAAGCAGCTGTCAGGCACCAGACTGAGCATGACCATCAGCCCCTATGACACCATCAGGAAGGTGAAGGAGGAGATCCAGCAGGAGTGGGGCATCCCCTTTTACAGGCAGCACTTGGCACAGCAGGAGCCAGGTAGGAACAACATCAACCTACAGGATAGCAAGACCCTGGCTGAGCATGGCATCTTCTACAGCACTACGCTGGTGCTGCTGCAGATTGAGCCCCAGGAGATGCAGGTCTTCGTGAAGGATGATAAGAACCGCACCACTACCTACACGGTGCTGCCCACTGACACTGTCCGGAAGCTGAAGGAGCAGATCCAGAGCCGGCAGGGGCCTCCTGCCGACCAGCAGCGCCTGACGTATGGCCCCAGAGAGCTGGAGGACCAGCACACGCTGGCACATTACAACGTCCAGCCCCAGACCACCATCTACCTGCTCCTGCGGCTCCGGGGGGGTGCAGGCCCCCAGCATGCCCAGTTCCCTGCCTGCTCGCCATTCTGAGCATTGCCCTCAGCACCAGCCCACGCCTCTGTGTACCCCCTCGTCACACTGGAAATAAACGCCTTGGTAGATCCTTGGTAGCTGCTTGCTTGGTTAGGGACAGTGCCAAGTGTCACATGGGGTGGCCAAGGGGTTGCAGTCACCCAAACCCATTGGGATGAGGGGGAACTTCAATGCCACCAGCTGCTCGGGTGGCACAGGGACACATTGGTGCAGAGCAGCAGTGCTGCCCAAATCCAGGGTGCCTGGTGGGGTCAGGGGTGCCAGCCTGCTGTTAGCTGGACCACAGGAGAAAAAATAGCTCCATCCTCTGCCTCCCCTCTGGCTGCTCCTGCCTGCACCAGTGCCTGCCTGTGCCCACGCAGGGGGCTCAAGTGTCTGGGCTGGGGCTCAGCCAGCGCTGAGACATGGCTCGTGCTGGTGGCATGGTGTCACCAGAGGCAATGGGTGGCACGCCAGGGCCACCAGGGGTCCTGATGCCACCACAGGCAGCAGGAGGCAGAAGACTCTTAGGTCACCTTCAGTCACTGCCTTAATTGCTGCCTGTTGGCACTGGGGAGGTTTCGGTTTTCATCTCCCAGAAATGAAAGTGGAGCTGAAAGCATGGTGAGCTGGAAGCCTGGGAGGACCCCACCAAACTTGACGATGTTCCTGCAAGTCTTGTCTACCCCAGCCCTCCAGGAGCTGCCTCTTGGCTCAGTGCTGGGGGGTCCCTGCTGTGTGGCACCAGACTGCCCCACCAAGTGCTTCGTGGGGCTCTGGGGCAGACACAGGACCCTGGGCTGAATCTCTGCTTTATTGTGCTCAATTAGTACAAGGTCCCCCATGCCACTGCTCTGCACCCAGGGTGGTGGGTGTCACCTTTGTGCACCCCCACATCTCCCCTTTGCATCCCCCTCCTCCTGCTGGGCCCCTGCCTCCCACCAGTGCCCGTCCTGCCCCTACATGGTCCCCACTCCCACCTGCAGACCCCTTGGGACCCAAGGGTGAACCTGCTGAGTTGTCCCCCCGCAGTGTGATGCTGGGGGGTACTGCCTGGCCCTGCAGGTTTACATTCATCGTAACAGTCGTTAATAAATATTTCGGTGACTCTGCGATGCCGGCAGCCGGCTGGGTCCCCACCGGTGCTGGAGCCGGTGGCAAGGGCAGTCGGCAGCCCCTTGGGGAGCTGCTCATCCTGGCTGCCCTCCTGTGGCCCCGGAGCTTCAACCCCCCGCCATTGCCCATGCAGTGCTGCTGGTAGGGCGGCCGAGGCTGTGCCCCACCTGCGGCCCCGCTCTTAGGCAGAGCCCGGCGCCCGGGGCCAACCCCCGGGTCACCAGGGGGATGCGCTGCGGGGGCCCCGCTCGGCCCGCGGCCCCTCATGGGTGCGCCGGCGGCGGGCTTTGCGTGGCTCCTGACCCTGCCCACGGCCAGGGGGTCCGGCATGGGTGCGGGGTGGTGGTGGGGGTCTTCCCCGGCTCCAGAGCCTCTGGCAGACCTTGTCCGTGGCTCCCAGTGGTGGGCGCTCCACCAGCTGGAGGAAGTCCCGGTACCAGACCTTGTGTCCGGGAGCCCCGGCGGTGAGCTGAGGGTCTCCAGCAGGTGCCATGCCCGCAGCCTGCCAGGCACTGATCACCTCCAGCGAGAGCCGCAGCAGGGGCTGGGTGAAGCCGTGCTCAGTGGCGTGGCAGAGGTAGAGGCCGGCGTCGGCGCGCTGCACGCTGCGCAGCAGGACACCCCGCTCCGTCCGCACCACCCGCTCATCCATCTGCACCTGCAGCACCCGTGGGGATGGGCGGTCAGCTCGACGTGGCACAGCATGGCACAGCCCTGCCGGAAGAACCTGGCCAGGGTGAGCCTACCTCTTGCTGGGGGTCATCCAGGGTGCGCTGGTATGTCCAGAGGACGCGGGCTTGCAGGGATTTGGGGACGCACTCCAGGAAAGCGGTGCTGCCCTCCACCCCGTAGAGCTGCTTCTGGGGCACGCTGCCCCGCCGGGGGTCTGGGGGGACATGGCCTGGACGTCAACCCCCCCCACCATGACAGGGTTGACCCCAGCCTCTGTTTGGATCCCAGCTCACCTTCAGAGCAGAGCACATTGGGGTCACCATTGCGGACATCCTGCCGGCGGAAACGCCTGTGGGAAGGTGGTGCAGGAGCAGGGGCTGTGGCACTGTGACTTGTGCCCCTCACCGTGGCCTCAGGGCAGACTGGCTGCCCCAGCACAACACACTGGCATGTCACCTACCTCTTGGTGTTGGGTACATAGCGGGTGCAGGCGGTGCCATCCCAGGCACAGTATGGGTCCCGGGCCAGGCAGCACTCGGCACAGGCTTTGCCATAGGCACCGCAGCGGTGCAGGGGCAGCTGGGCCAGTGCTGTGGTGGAGCCCACGTAGAGCTGGTGCTGGGGGAGAGCAGAGCTGAGCACGCCCACACCATGGCATGGGGCTAGGCAGAGCCATGGTGGGACATGGGAACACTCTGGGGTCCCCCTCCTTACCCGCTTGGAGGAGAGCTGCAGGCTGGTGATGGGGGAGGCATCCTGAGGGCAGAGCACGGGCAGGAGTTAAGGGTGTGTGCAGAGATCCCAGCTGCCGACCCCGGCTCCCATGACCTGGCAGCTGGAGTGCCCTGGCACAACCCAGAGCATAGGTAGCACAAGGGAGTGCTGGAGGGAGGTCTGACTTGGGGGATGCGGAGCCCCCGTGCTCACCTGGAAGACCTGCAGCTCCTCCAGCAGCAGTGGCTCCATGCGGTGCCAGCTCTCCTTCGGCACTGAGACCACCTTCAGCACCGTGCCCACATCTGCAGGCAGGGAGGGGTGAGTGCAGGGTCCCGGCAGCAGCTTCCCCCTGCTCTCCCCCACTGCCTCAGTCCTGGGGTCACCACATACCTGTGCCAATGAAGAGGACATCATAGTGGCCATCGGCAGCGGTGACACGGTCCACGGCGATGCGGGTGAAGGTGTAGGGCACAGCGGCTTGCAGGAAGAGGGGCCTCTGGCCGTGGGGCAACACAGGGTTGTACATCAGCGGGTGATGCCGGGCAAACTGGATCACCTCATCCGGGAAGTCCTTGGTGGAGCTGAAGGTGCCGAAGGTTTTGCTGGGGCACTGCGGGGAAACAGCAGTGGCTAAGCAAGGTCTCGCACCCCACTGACCCCACCCCAACTAGTGGCATCCCACTGCTGGCACCAGACCAGGACACCCCCACACCACGTACCATGCCCGGGCGGGGGTATGGCACACGACCCTGGTATGACACCCACTGGTAGTTGGGACCTTCCTTGTGTGCAAAGGGGCCCAGGAAAGCCCGTCGGATGTCGGCCATGGTGTAGACGCAGACAGCTGAGCCCTGGAAAACAGAGCTGGTGGGAGAGAGAGGGGATGATGTGAGGGGGCAAGGGGGGCACCACTGGGTATGAGCAGAGTGGTGGGGAGGGGGCTTGACCTGGATGTGGAGAAGACGGCATAGACCAGAGGGTTGCGCTTGTCCCTTGTCTGCAGCAGAAAAACATCCCCTGCAAACACAGAAGGCATCAGTGCTGCCTCGATATACCAGCAATACCCACAGCTACCCTGAGGGGCTGCATCCCTCTGCACTCACGGAGCTCATCAAAGTGGGTGTCTGCCCCATCGGGTCCTGGCACAGCACAGACAAGCCGAGCCTTCAGGAAGGTTGTCCACTTGTTCACCAGGCTGCGCTGCCCACCCATGTCGTTCTGCCAGGGAAAGGAGGGCATCAGTGTCAGCAGCAGCAGGTGGCACCCTCGGACACCTCGGCTCCCAGGCCATCTGCCCACAGATGCTCTCACCCGGCAGAGCTGGCCGATGCGGGCGAAGCTGGTCTTGCCCAGCCCCTGCTGCCGCTCAACCGCTGTCTCACGGAAGAAGAAGTAGATCTTGTCATCGTCGGGGTCTTCACTCTCTGGCACCCAAAAAACGGCCACGAACTTGGGCTCTGGGGACAGAAGGATGATGCCTCCAGTGCCTTCACTATCTCTGCTCCCCAGGGACACTGGGACACCTGTTGAGGTCCCTTGAGAACCAACCCTGCCCAGCTGCCGGGCAGAGGCAGAGTGAGGATGGGATGCCATCAGACATCAGGGGTCTGCAGGGAACACAGAGACCCCTGAAATCACCCTCTGGAGGCATGGGAGTACAGGGTACAGCCTAGCCTGGCGAAGTCATTGCCCTGATGCCTCCAGGGAGCAGCAACGCTGTGCTGGGGTGTCGGCGGACACCCTGCCATGCTCCCACTCCCCAGCACTGACCGTTGAGCCAGCGGGAGTCATGCTGCTCCGTGCGGATGGAGGGACGCCGGCCCAGGCTGCGGAAGATGGTAAAGTCACGGCCCATCAGATCGGTGGCCACCCCAGAGTAGAGCTCCTCGCCTGGCAGGCACCGAGGGAAGTGTTACAGGGGAGCCCCCAGCACCCCTGTGCCGCGCTGCACCCAGCACTGGGCTCAGCTCTCCCTTACCCACGAGGACGGAGGCGGCTGTGTGCCGGGGGTCGTAGGGGCTCTTCCCCTTGCCATCCTCAGTGCGGCGTGGGTCCAGCTTGAAGATGGGCTCCTGGAGAGGGGTAAGGATGGGAGGTGGGCAGGTGGCAGCAGCCAGAGCCCATGGCAGTGCTGGGGGGGGCTCACTTCTGCATGCTGGCCGGCCTCCACGAAGGCACAGACGGGGTGGAAGGCGCCGGTGCCGCAAGCGTACAGGTGGGTCCGGTTATAGGGGTGCAGGATCTTCACAAAGTTCATGCACTCAGCCTGGGGATGGAGAGCACAGGGGCTGAGGTGGTGCTGGGACAGGCCTCTGGCATTCCCCCACCACCCCACAACATCCCCCGGCACTCACGGTGATGTCCTTGCCAGCCCAGTTGCATTCTTCCCTCCACTCCACTGGAGCCGGCCAGTAGATCTGCAGGTGGAAAAGGGGATGCTCACAGCCCCCAGCATGCCTGGGGTTGCCCCGCCATCGTCTCCCCCACTGTTACCTTCCTGTCCCGCTGGCTGATGTCATCCAGGGCCAGAGAGAGGAGGTGGTTCTGGGCGCCGGCAAACAGGCGGCCGCGCTCCTC